TAGCCTCAAATAATTACCCAGGAGTTGGGGCCTGCGGATTTCCCAGACTTACATTTTCTCGATCAAATTCTTTCGCACAATATACGTTGCCATGCACGAGTTTGTGGATGCTCCGCTTTCTCTCGCAGGTGCGTAATCTTACTCGGTGACTCCAGTCGCTAAGATCGACTTGGGCTGCACGTACAGCGCTGACTTGAAATTAGTGTAGTGTAGCAGATATCTTTGCTTCCGGGTATTGCTGTAAATTGTGTAATCTTGCTAGCTTCACTCGACGTGCTGCGTCTCGAGGTGCCTTGTGCTCACGCTCAGACTCAATTGAGCTAATTGTTTTTAAACGTCGCCCAGTATGGCTGGGCCCCAGTTGCGAAACGCGAGGTCTATTTACATGTACCTTCATTACCTTGACACCATGGGTCTAACAGGCCGCTCGTTGATGTCGGGCGCTTAGCGACTAGTCGGGCCGCAACTCCAAAAATCGTCTCGGAATAGCGTACGTCACATAAAAGCCTGGACCACGGTGGATCATTCCGCGTGCATAAAAACATCCTGAGGCCGGAACTCGAAACTCGACCTTATCCTTATGAGCTGCTCTTAATCGAAAATCTATTGCCGTGGTCTCGCCTAGACTAACTTTCCTCTGAGACTCGCGCAGGATCCTAGCGATAACACTACCTGTATCTATTTCTATGCGGGCTGTTCGGCACGACAAATCCTTGTCAGCGTGCCAGTCGTGGCGGAAGTGGCAGCCATCACACCGCAGCGTGTCGAGTTCAAATTTGATTAATCAAAAGTCACGGTGATTAAATAACAAATGGCGCCATACACGCCACTCGTCCAGCAGTTTACAAGGAGGGATTATTGCACAAACCCGTTCTCATAAATTATATATTAATAGTTTTCCGTATATCACATAAAAAAAAATTCTGCCCAACATGATCTATAACGAATGTTCAGAATTGATGAACTAGATTTACGAACAAGTCTAGCTGGCTGAATCTGTAACATGTGTTATCAGAAATTAATGTTGATTCAGATTTAACTCAGATTTACGAACTGTTTATGGTAAGCGCCACTTTTGTTGGTCACACGATACCAGTGACTTGTTGATGATAGACTAACAAGCGGTCCCAACGGCATCAAGCCCTTACGCATCTGCTTGGTGCTTGCTAAACGAACTGCTTTGTGCTATCAAATACTGGGGCCCGAGCCGTCTACGTTATGAATGCAGAAACGCACGAATGCTGATTCGGCGACCAAATGATGCAGCGTAGATCACATTCAAGCGACATAAGATGCTTGCTACCCTGCTAAATCGAGGCCTAAAGTAGTCGCCCGATAGATAAAATCGTAGACCGACCATAAAGCGGCGCACTTACGCTACGTTTATGTATATTATAATAATCGGTACATTAATTCGCTTGGCTGCTTTTGCAATTGCATGCACATCTTTGACTGACGGCGATGCAACGTCGCCTTTGATAGCGCCCGCCAATCTACGGAAATTTTATTACACTAGCTTGTAAAGCGTTGTTTTTTTTGCGGTTTAGAAATGAACGTATGTATAGCGACGTTTGCTATGCACAAATGAACTTTATACAGCAGAACACCAGACGCCAGCATGAGGGCCCTGTCACACTGCGGCACTTGCTTATTGTGTTCTATAACCCATTCTTTCCCTGCTAACTAATCAGCATTATAATTGCCTGACTACTTAACTCATAGGCTGAGGGTTCTCCCCAGGAGTGAAATTGAAACAGGAGAGAGAGGGGACGAGGGGAGAGGAAACTATAGGGGGGCCCGGGGAGACGTGTTTTTTTAGCCGTTACACTAATTTAATGCGTAAAATCGCACCACACATAGACGGTATTTAGGGTTCTTGTTATATTATATAAGAGAGCCGAGTCGGTGTACAGTTAGTGTTGGGTTTGGGACAGGTTGACTGTTTGTACTTGTGTGTGGTTGCAGCACATGCGTAGTGTAGGAAGTTTACGCATTAGTGGTACGGTAAAAATACACGCGTCTGTGGTCCTGGTCGAATGGGAATTCTTGACGATCGATTCCCGCGCTGTCAAACTTTTATTGTGGTGGAATTTAATCGGGGCGGAGGTAATTTAAACGGGGCGCAATGATTGAAACGGGGGAGTTTTCCCAAACGGGGCACGCGCCCCGTTTGCGCAACGTAGGGAGAACCCTGATAGGGTCTATGTCCCCCAGGGTACTGCCGGAACGTACCCTGGGTACGGTCCGGTATACTGGAACGTAGGTACCCTGGTAACTATTTGATATGGTTAGGGTTAGGGTTAGGATTAGGGTTAGGGAGTAGGCGTAGGTGACTCCCTAGACTCGTTAATGGAGTAGGCGAGGTACGGTCCGGCATATTAGATAGTACCAGGGTACGTTCCAGCAGTACCCTGGGGTACATAGACCTTCTCAGCACTATTTACTGTAAATTAGTGCATCACGTGATAAATCGTTGAAATTCTATTGGATAACGTCGCAGGCACTATGAAGCAATGCGGGCACTATTGCTTGCGCGACGCATTGTTATTATAACGCATTGTGTTCACGTCACGAATCTCCGGCGCCACGCAAGAGTTTCGAACAGCGGTTGTGTTTGTGTCGAGCGTTTTGTTACATCGAATGCACCGGCAAATTAGGGAGTATAAAGAAGGTATATACGCATGAAAAGTAGATTGCATAGTCATGTGATGCACTAAAAACATTAATGCCTGTTGTTGGGGGCACTATGCTGTCATAGTGTTGCTTTGGGAAGGAATAGTGCCCTCGCCTATACCTTCCCTCAGCAACACTATGAGAGCATAGTGCCCCCAACAACAGGCATTAATATATAAATATTCTACGGAGGTGTATAATAAGTTTTTATTGGTATTTTACCCGGGATGGTTTTCATGAATTTTATCAGCTCTTTTCACTATCACCATTGGTTACTCTATAATGTAGGATATGGTTCTCAGGTGTATAATGTGTTTTATTGGTATTAATCCGATGTTTTCATGCATTTTACAAGCTCAAGTTATTATATAATGTAGACCTATGTTATTACTCTGAGGTTTATAAAGTTTTTCCTTTTTGTGCCCCTCTAATTCTCTGCATTATAAGTATAGGTTACTATATACGTAATATTTGAGTAAGGTGTATGATTTTCCGTCCCATACGTATTATTCATGGTAAGTTATAGCCTTAGTAAATACTTACAATTTCTTGAAAACGATTTTCAAAGACCGAAAGAACATTTGAGAGGAATGCGTGTTATTTAGGTGGTATAGGCAATGCAGTATAATATCAAGCTGTGCTGACGAGTGTCACGGTGATGTCATGGTTACGGTGACGAGGTTCACGGGGGTCGACTGGCTTCTAAGCCACGCGGCTAGGCTGTGCACCTGGCCAGCTCGCAGCACGCGCGAGGCGAGGAGTACCGTGCGAGAGCGCAAGCGGGAAGGACAGTACAGCCACGCAGCAGAGCCGCGCGTGAGCGAAGGAGAAATGGATAGTTTTCGCCAAGTTAGGCAGGACAGTAGAGCCACGCAGTATAGCCGTGCGTGAGCGAAGGAGAAATGCATAGTTTTTGCCAAGTTAGGCAGTACAGTAGAGCCACGCAGTATAGCCGTGCGTGAGCGAAGGGGTGGAAAGTTTTCGCCAAGCTAGGCAGGACAGTAGAGCCACGCAGTATAGCCGTGCGTGAGCGAAGGGGTGGAAAGTTTTCGCCAAGCTAGGCAGGACAGTAGAGCCACGCAGTATAGCCGTGCGTGAGCGAAGGGGTGGAAAGTTTTCGCCAAGCTAGGCAGGACAGT